GGTATGGGACCTTCCTCTAAATGTCAGTAAGTGCCAGAACCTCACGAGAGAAGGACAGCGCCATGGTAGGAAATTCTTAGGACCACCTGGAGAGCAGGTCGAAATTGCCCCAATGACTTCTACGCGAGGCTTAGGAGTGAGTATGACCTCAGACTTCCTTCCCACTCTGCAGTGTCGGAATGCTGTGAAGAAAGAATCTGGAGCCCTATATCAGCTCTGACATGTAATAGGGTCGAGCAGATCGGAGGCCCTCTAACCAATCTGTAAAGCGTTTGTACGGCCACACCTCAAATATTGTGTTCAGGCGTGGAGCTCGCTCTTGATCAAAGATGTCAACGCGCTAGAGAAGGTTCAAAGGCGCTTCACGAGGTGGTTTGGTGGGATAAGAGAGCACTCGTATGAGAGGAGATTGGAGGTTCTGAACCTCTTCTCATTGGAGAGACGGAGGCGTCAAGGCGACCTCATCGAGCCGTTTAAGATCCTTAAAGGGATCACAGATCTAGAAGGTGGTGCCTAGGAGCTTCTGAAGCTAAGTGAAACCACCCCACTCTGAGGGCACGCACTGAAACTGGCAAAGGATAGGGTAAATTGCGAATTGAGGGCAACATCATTTCCCGTTCGAGTCGTGAATGACTGGAACAAAAGGTCAAAGGAAGCAGAAGCAGCCACCTCAGTGGCTGAATTCAAACACTGTTTGGAATTCTTATAGGGTAGCTTGTTCATCGGAGGAGAGTAAACGTGTCAAGCGCCTAAAGCTCTTCTCCCTTCCCTCCTCTCTTTATCCCAATGGTCATTTTACCCCCCCCCCGCTTCCCCCCACTTCCGCTTCCATTCTTCAGCTCTCTAACAAAACCTTCGATTGTCCTTCTTACTCAGAATCTTTCATTCTTACGAGCTTCGAGTTGCTTGGTGTAACTCTCCTGTCCGAGAGGCCAGTGTGCAACGCACCATTGCACAAACACCCACGGAGTGGGGTGCTGTGGCAGGAAGTAGGGAAGCTAACCGGTGTTGACGGCCTGCCGGTAAGTCTTCTTACGAGTCTCAATATGCGCACGACCTCCTAGTGTCTCGTTGCCCGAGGTAGACAAAAACACTCGTGGGAGTAGTAAACGTTTATTGGCGAATCGTGGTACTAGATAGTACCGAAACGTGCCAAGGTGACGCTAAACAATGCAAGCAATAAATGCAGTAGCAGAACGAAAGCGTGTCACACGTGTAGCGTGGGTTTGAACAGGACCCAGCTTATACGTAGCAGAGCGAAAGCGTGTTACACGTGTTGCGTGGGTTTGAACAGGACCCAGCTTATATCTACTGAGCGGAAAACCGTGCTCGGTAAAACAAACAGAAGTAAAACACAGAAAATATCACAGTTGAAAACCGTGCTCGGTAAAACAAACAGAAGTAAAACAAAGAAATATCACAGTTGGAGTCAGTTGCCTATGAACGGAAAACGTCCTCGTGGATTGCTCCTTTTCTTCGTACAATCATGGTCACTACAACGTTTCTACGTGTATATCACAGAAGGGGAAACTTTTCATCCTATTATCGCAGCACCGGGAGATCCTTGGAGCTCACCAGTGCAGGAAGCAGGATAACCTGGCAAGCTACCGTCACCGTTATGGGTACCGAACTGAATTGAACGGAACCCAACTGAACTTCTTCCCAACTAATCTCCCTTACATATATCGTATTGGATCCAGTTTCCCTGCGGAAAACAGTTGCAAGACAGCGACTAAAACCGGTTTGAAGCTTCGGTAGAAGAAACCTTTCTACCGAAGCAAGAATATGGAAGCTTGGTTGGCGAAGGGCCAGGTACGACTATGAACGTGAGATTGCGATTAAAGCAAAACAGAACCCAAAGAGGTTCTGTGCGTACGTCCAATCCCAAGGGGCATCAAGAGAGGGAATTGGAACGTTAGAAAGCACTAGTGGATGTCTTGCCCTAAGCGAGGAAGAAAAGGCAAATACCCTTCTGGCTTTCTTTAAGGGGGTGTACAGACAGCCATCACCGTTGGTTATGGCAGATTATCCCAGTGCGGCATCACAGCTGACTGAAATAACTGTGACACCGAACGAAGTCCTTCACGAGTTAACTACCCTGAATAAGTTCAGGGGAGCGGGACCGGATGGCAT